ATCCGTATCTCTGCTGTGATAGACTTGGAAGGCATCAATACTATTAAGTGCACGTCGGAGTTTGTCAATAAGACTTGAATGAAATATTGATTTTAAAGCGGATCTATTTATCTTGGCCTTGCAGAGAAGATCATCTTTTGTATCGCACTCGGCCACAGGCGGTCATCCGCCTCATCCGTCAGCTTCCGTACACTCACTATTTCGCGATCGAATTCTCTTTAAGCAACATGGCGCACTCAGGTTGCCTTGAGGAGTTCAGATCGTAAGAAGTGCACGATTTCTGAAGTCTGGTCGAGGCAAGTTGTCAACTCTTCCTGAAAGTGGTCGGATCGCTGGTCTTCCTCCTGGTGCTGCATGCGCAGTTGATTGTATCTGCCTCGAACAAAGCTAAGTTGAAAGTATGTAAATGTTGAGATGTTGAAATGGAGCTCGTGGCGTTCTTCCTCAAGTTGATGGATTCGGGATATATTGGTGAATCGCAAATCCCTTGCTGCGGTAGCGATTCAGATTTTTCTTCTTACAAATTCAGCAGCTGTTATGTAGAAACGGTCGCGTCTATAAACGTCACGCAATCTATAGACAATGGGACCTCCACGCGAGTACTGGAAGTAGCATCGGTTCACTCAGACCAGAAAGTAGTCATTGGCCGTATCGACATTCGTAATTGGGACCGTGTACGAAGACGATAGAAGATTCACGGTTGTATCTTCATCTGCAGACAGACGCCTCTGGAGTGGTCGGAGGTGAAGGTACCTGCCATTCTTATCCTTCAGAAGTCAAGGGCGACAACATGAAATAATTTATCGTGGAGATCAGGCGAATGTTGGTGGAGAATTTATCTTGATGATGTACAGCCAGATATCGACATTGCTTGTCGGCTACCAATACAGGGGACGTTTGTAGCAGGTGAATGCAAGTAATTCTTGCAGTTGCATATGATGATGAATGGTGTGTAACGTGCGTTACATGAAGTCCAAAAGAACTCTTATTGGTGGGAACGGGATGAGACAGGTGCTTCATTATCGTGGGTTCAGATATGAGTGCATTGATGATGCATAACGATCCGAGTACAAAACGAGCTGCGACATTCCAATGGAGAATCGATGAACACGTAACTATCTATAGTCGTGATCGCGGATTCCGCCACGGATTGCGATACTTGAGAGCGAGAGACGCGGAAATACGGATGGAAGGTTTTGTGATTAAGTAATCCGTCATATGTTCAAGATCAGCTACAAATATGTGGAATATGGCAGAAATGACTGGGGGAACGGATGTTAATGAAAGTGGAAGAGCGGCTATCGCATGATCCGCGTAGAATCGCTGCCAATTGCAAAGAAGGATTGCACGACTTTTATGTGGTCTACATACAGAGCTCATCCCACGTAACGGTATGCTCCGCTTTGTTCACGTGGATCACACCCCGCTATCGCGATTTGCGATAGAGCTATTTATGTACTTGGATCTGGAATGCATTGTACAAGGGGATGATCTCGTAAAGAGGAGACATGTGGGATCTGATCCCGAGATAAAGATATGCATAGTCGTAGTTTCGGTATTTGGTTGGATACAACTAATTAGATTCGAATTACTTCAAAGTTCACACGCGTCGTTCTTATTCCGAGAGATGGATTTTTAGACTATGACGTCAGAGAACAGCGATTACGCTAATAGAGAATAGCATTCTTTAACTTTTTGCCCGAAAGTGCAAGGACATTCACCCCCGCCTCGACTGCTATGAAACGCAGGGAACCGCTAAGGCTTCGATACAAGATTGCGAGACGTCTCAAGCGGTTTAAGTAGAGAATATCCGGACAAGACGATCTCAAGGGAGATCGGAGTATCTTTTAGAGTACCCCCAAGAACAACCACGATCGGGTAAGTATTTCTGGTATTGACCTGCATTACACAGTTGCAGACACGGCAACAGAGACATCGACTCAAGCTTACCCCTAATAGTGTAACCCGCCTCTCTCGCAGGTACTTATGGTGAGCGAAGTTATGCATCTCAAGGTAAACAGGTAAACTCACTTTGATAATCGGTCGTCAAGGGTTCGCTGGCGAGTCAGGATCACATCTTTATTTTTGTAAATTTCTGTCTACAAATAATTGGTAGAATTTACATCGCAAAATTTTTTGGTGTTGATGATAAAAGTTCATTCTGGTACACAACTAAGTTGGCAATTTTGCATTCTAAACTTACAGATCATGCGCTGATGAAAAAATTTATTTTCTGTCTTCGTTAGCTTTGCCCGCTTTTGATCAAGTTAGATTTCTGAGCCCAATTAATTTAAAAATATCGATTTGGTCGCGAACGAAGTGTTTCATTGATATATGACGCTTCTATTAAATTTTAATGGTTGACAGTCCTAATCATTTGCATCGGCGAATCAAGTTTAGTTAGAATAACCTCAATTGATAACCGTCCAATTCAGGGCCCACCACAAGCTTAAAGAATTACTACCAACCTCAATACTCACCTTCATGCCGCATTAACGCTAGCGCTACTCAAAATTTCTAAAATGTCGGTTTAATTAATTTTTATATATAGATTTCAACGTCTTATTTTCATTTTGTTTCGCCAAAGCAAGCCACGAGCAAACTTTTTCATTCTCCAACGTCGGTAAAAAATATTTTTGTTCATCATTTCTATTTTTTGAACAAAATACTCGTAGTTGCTACACGTAATAATGATAAATTCAAGTATACATCTCTAACCGTTACACATACTAGATCTAACTATCATGCAAATTGACCATCATGCTGACTACATATGTATCGCCCAACATTAAATCAAGAATTATTTCTGGCCACGTTATAGTAACATATGGAATGAAAACATTCTTTTTTTAAGCAACATCCTGAAATATGAAATCTTACATTCAATGAAAATCTCTGTCTTTAAATTGTACATTACTGCTTCTCTCGTTTGATTTGGATGTCCTATTTCGATACACAACCAAGTGATGTATGTTATCACGATACTACGGTAGTAAATTTCGCAGCTGTACATTAATCGACAAATCTTACACTTGAAATAATGATTCAGGGTCGAAATATCTAATACTTGTAATCAAAGCAGGTTTAGACTATACTGCACAACATTAAGTATGCTCTTTATGTGCGAGATCATATTTTGCGATCACCATGCTCCGCTCTTCGAAGTCTAGCGATTGCCATTAATTATTGGAACTTGATCATACGTTTGTTTTAAAAACACATTTGCAAACGCGCTGAATGGTCAATAAAGCATAAATACTGTCCAGAACGTAACTGATCTCGCATATAGTGGTCTTCCCCATAAATTATTGGTGTTGTATTTTTAACGCCTTCTACTAATCAATTGAGACAGTTTTGACCCCCATAAATATCCTATTGACCGCAGGGAACACATGATCCAGCTGCATTCCGATTGTTAGAAAAATCTTTGTTCTATCTTTAGGCAAATTACACGGCACAACAGTATGGACCCCATCCTTATTTTTTTATCAGATCTTGAGGAAAACGATTGACTTCGACATCTTTCAGCCTCAAGACATACATCGCTCAATCCGAGTCTTCACATCGGGTGTACTTTCTTTCATCGATAAGCTGCTGCTGTTATTGAACGATTCCTTAGCAAACATCACTGTCATCAAATTACGGGTCACGTACTCTTCCTCTGCGATGGGTACGCGGACCTGTTTGATTTTGCCATCACGCAGATCTCGAAAGAAACGTTTAGGCTTGGTGGTTGGAAACTGGTTAATCGCTGAAGTTGACTTCAGAATTACTACCTGATCAAGTGTGTAAATGTCCTCGCTAAATATATAATTAATCAATCGATCATCGTCGCGCTTATCTCCCGGGAACTTATATACTTAGGTTGCTGGAGACCGTTTCATAAACCTTATTTGCCGACTTAATATTCACACTTTTCCTACATTTATGTCAACAACATGAGGCGGTACACCATGTCACACGTGGCTACATACGTTGATCGTTAAATATGTAGATCGACGCTGGAACTTGCTAAAAGAAGCAGGCTATCCATCTCGCACAACTATTATCAAGAGCGCACAACTATTATCGAAATTGACCAAATGTTATAATAAATTTGCGCCCATTGCTTAGTGAAAGAAGCACTTGAACTACGCACTGACAGCAGTGCGTAGTATGTTCTCACTGAATGCAGTGAGAACTAGAGCCGTGCTAGCGTACGTACACCGTACGCGCTCAAAGGAAGACTAGGTACCAAACAACTTAGTTTGGTAGAGGGCAAAAGTAAACCTGTATTAATCTAGTAAGTCTAATAGGTCTTTTACTTCTTGTCTTGTCGTAACTGTATTAATATCAAACTATGTCTGATGACGACTACTCACCACCCATTGCGCGCGTCTAGCAGCGATTGGTGAGTTGATTTTATCATAATATTAACCAATGAGTAGACCTTTGGGTCATCTCAACAAAATCACTATGCTTAGTTGAATCGTGTAAAGATATTCAGCAGAATATTCTTTCTTACCATTTCGCACAATGGTAACTTTCATGTAACGGGCTATCCCGTTACACTTCGGCCCTCGATTCGGTTCAAGCAGAGCCATCTCACGACTTTTGCACTATTGTGACGATGTTCGACGTGCGAAACGTCAAGCTACATGCCATTCTGTGAATTCCGATCTGCCAGTCTTCACATTCTCATCGAAAAGGTCTTCGAAATTGCTAAGGAAAAAGAAAGTGCGACAGTGTCTAATATTTGGGGTCGCTTGTCCGAAAAGTTGCTCTCCTCATACTGTCGAAATGTTCTCAACAAGACGGCAGAACGTCAGACCGACGCGTAAGCGACAATCGACCGCTCGCCAATGCACCGTCGGGCGCCCTCGGTGGGACCTCCGTCGCTCCCGCCTCTCCCTGGCAGCATCGGGAACCACTCTCTCTTGAGCACAATACACGCCCTGCGTCGTTCTCTCTCGCGCCGATCGCTGCTCTGGCTCGCGCTCTGCGGCCTCGCGTTGCTCGTCATGACGGCTTTGTTTACGTTCACATGGCGTGTCTCGTCTGTCGCTCCTGCCCATGCGCGTGTTGTCGAGGCCCGATGGAGTGTCAGTCACTCGACCGACGCCAATCAGGGGAACACAGAGGTTCAGAACGGCAGTTACCAGCTGCTGGTGCGGAAATATGGCGACTCGTTCTCGGCCGACGACGTGGCGCGCATGGAGAAGGACCTCATCTACACGCTCCACGAAACGGCGCAGAACACGAGTGAACAGCGTGGGATTGTGCTGCCATTGTTCGACGACATTGCAATGCTCGGCTTGTCGTTGATCATGGGGCTGCGAGCGATGGACGTGACGCTGCCAATTGAGATCCCGCATTGTGGAGATTTGAAAAACTCGACGATCGACGCAGTGCTAGAAAATTATGTGCTGGGTGATCTCTACTTCTACGACGTGTGTGAACTCGCGTCACGCAGTGTGAGTTTATTGGACGCGACGGTGAACGTATTTTGCCAGAGTTTGTCGAACTGCCATGAGTCATTCCGGAACTTTGACATTAAGCTGCTGGCTGTGACTTTTTCGCGGTTTGAAGAAGTCATGCTGCTGGATGCCGACACGTTGTTCTTCGAGAGCCCCATGTCGCTTTGGGAGACGGACAAGTACCAGAGCACGGGCACGCTCTTCTTTCACGATCGACTCGTTGAAGACAAAATGTTTATGGGTAAACCCAATCGCGGCAATAATACTGTGCGAGTATTCCATGACTTCATGTCCCGGTTCAATGTGTCATCCTTTGCGCTGTTGGGTAATATTGAACGGCCAAAGGCAACAAGCGAGAACAAAGTGCCAGTAAAGCTCAACTTCTTACCGAGTGAGCAACTGTTGACGAGTCATTCGTGGAACTACCGTGCAGGCCATGAGATGGACTCGTCGTTGGTATTATGGAACAAGAAGCGACAGCCGCGAGCTACGGCGATCTTGGCTTCGTTTGCGTCGCTCAATCGCATCGGCCGACCTCCTTCTTACGGAGACAAGGAGCTGTTTTTTGTGGCCGCAGAGCTCGCTGAGACGCAGTACGCATTTTCTGATTTTGGCGTGGGGGGTGCGGGTTGGGACTTTCGCGACAATGGTCCCGGCAAGTCGGTGATCTGTGGCCAGGCCGCGCATTATTACCCAGTAAAGCCGAATGAGACTGGAGTCGTTGCCGATGCGAGCGTGCTGTATCTCAATAGTGATGATATCTTGACATACGACCCCAAAACGAAGCCCGTGTACTATTCTCAGGCGCGATTATACGAGGTGTACCCGGGTGATGTCAAACAGCGCGGCCTGCCGACAATATGTCCATTCGATGTGACGGGCGTGCGCTTTTCTCCTGACCAGGAGGACCTCATGCTACTACGTAAGCGCCTCCACGAGATTGCAGAGGCCTGGATGGATCGGCCACTGTGAAACCCAACACAATGACATGCTAGTAAGTGAATTCGCTAACGACGTTTATGCGTCAACTCGACGGCGTCGTCATTTATACAGAAAGAGAGCAACGAAAACGTGGACGTACGCAAAGCCCCGCTACGCACGTGCTCGTCGTGTATGAGCTTGAGAGGTGTCTTGCCGGCGAATGGTGCAAATATACCTCTGAGAGCTTTTTGCTCCTGTATATAATGCTGACGTCTGGTCCTGCAGACCTGATTGAGTGTCGCAGCCGACAATGTGTTCCGTTCCCTGAATTCCATCCATCCATCCCATCTGAATTCGATACACGCGTTATGGTGGCAAATCCGCTCGAAGGTCGAGTACCGTTCGACAATAGCTTTCTCTCGCTGTAGCTATTTTTTGATCGAAGCGTGTGCCACTGACATGTACCACAGTGTATATCCCTACCATCCTTCTCGTTCATCGATCGTCCAGCCGCTCTGCCGTGGGGTCCCACTCCTGGGGTGATAGTTCTATGACAAGAGACAATGGGCTTCCGCTGGAAGATCGCCAAGACGTCCTCTCTACTCGCTCAGTGTAGTATCGCGGACCTTCGTCAAGCGCAACGGGAAAAGAAACTCGTCGTTGAGGCCCGCCAACTGTCCCCAGTTTTCCGCGGGAGCTTCGCATGACCACATCAGATCGACACGTGCTCCGGCATCTGATGCGATAACCCCACAATCCCATCAAAGTGGACCTGGGCAAGGGACTCGACGGAATACTCCAGTCACCCTTTCGCTCTCCAGAGCATCGCACCCAGCAATGAGTCGCGTACGATTATTGGATCATTTGACGCCGGCGCGGCGGACCTGCTCTAAACGCGCCGGACGTCGTGTGCACCATAGCAGCGTTCAATCAAAGACTTTCTGTTGCTCTCTCTCTTCTCTCGCGCGCGCTCTCTCTTCGACCGTCCTCCACTCCGCACTGGCTGACACCTATCAAGTAGCTTACCACAACCCTAGTAAGGCGTCCAGCCATCCGCACTCTCGAAAAAGAAACCACTTGCACACACGCACACATCCACTTTGACCATCACTCTGCATCTCCTCAGACGCATGGCCGGCTCCGTGCGGCTACAGCGATGGGTCTTCGCGCTGCTCGTGGTGGGCGCCCTCGTCGTGCTGGCCGACGTGCTGCTGACGTGGCGGCTGCTGCCCTTCTCTCCGCCCACGTCCGCCACGACGTTCGCCTCGCGCGACTCTGTGAACGTGAATGGGCTCCTCCGGTCCACAGCGACGAGTGGCGCTGGCCGTAGCGCGGAGCAGACGACGACAGGGCCGAAGCGACTGACTGAGTTGGAGCGAAATCTCGAGACGAAGTGGCTTTACTCGCTACTTACGCTGAGCCGGCAGACGAGTGTGCAGCGCGGCATTGTGATTCCGCTGTATGGGAAAATCATGACGCTCGGTGTGTCACTGATTCTGCAGCTGCGGTCTCTTGGCGTGGAGTTGCCCATTGAGGTTCCGCATTGTGGCGACTTTGACCAACAGTATGGAGAGATACTCATGACAAAACGCGAGTATTTGGGGGAGCTATACGTGTACAACGTGTGCGAGCGTGCGGCAGCTGCAAAGAGCGTCCTGGACCCCAGCAAGCCTCTGTTTTGCGCTGATTTGAAGGGTTGCTACGCCCATTTTCGGGGCTTTTATGTCAAAGTGCTGGGCGTGCTTTTCTCCCGCTTTGAAGAAGTCATGCTCCTCGATGCCGACGCGTTGCTGTTCCAGTCGCTGATGCCGCTGTGGGATACGAAAAAGTTCCAAACGACAGGCACTCTCTTTTTCAATGATCGAATTGCGGAGCCTCATTTTAATATAGGACTCGCATACAGACCAGCAAATCGGCCGAACATCATGGCGATCGAGGACTACCTGTCCAAAATGAATGTCGAACTGTTCCGCCACATCCCAACGCTTGCACGTCCTAAGGCACCAGCCGACTTGATTGCCGCTGACAAGTCGAACGTAACGCTGCACTTTCAGCCAAGTGAGAACCTCCTTAGAAGTCACTTTTGGCACGGACGCAGTGCGCATAGTGTGGACTCGTCGGTACTGTTGTGGAACAAAAAGCGACAGCCACGTGCCACAGCTTTTCTGGCTTCGTTCGTTTCGCTGAATGACGTGCCACACCCACCGTCCTACGGTGACAAGGAGTTCTTCTTTGTAGCCTGTGAGCTCGCGGAAAGTCAGTATGCGTACTCGGACTTTGCCACAGGCGCTGCTGGCTCAGACTTTCGCGATCGCGGTCCAAACAAGTCGGTCGTTTGCGGTTATGCGTCGCACACCTTTCCGGAGATATCTGAGAATGCTTCTGTCCAGACGTCAAGTCTGCTTTACATGAATACGGACGGTATGATGCGATACAAGCCCAAGATATCACCGATGTACTATACCGCGCCGCGTGCACACGATTTCTATCCCGGTTCATTTGAAGACCGGAAGTTGCTAAGGAGCTGTCCCTTTGACATCACGGGCGTGAAGTTCTCAGATGCTGAGGTACAGCAGGTCTATCAGAGGCAACGCTTCTTTAGAATTGCCAAAGAATGGGAAGACAACGCGAACAAATCTGACATTGTCGAGCGCGTGGCGGCTGATGCGCTCACGAACGAGGAACTTGACGCAGTCATGAATCTGGAATCAAAAGGTCGACTTATTGAAGACGTTGTTGACTTCTTGGAAAGCGATCTTGACAAAGGAGGGCAAGACGAGAAAGCGAGAAAGTTGAAAAGTAAGGTGGATGAAGTTCGTGAACAGGAGACACAGCTTATTTATACGCTGGACCAGATCGCACAACAAACAAGCGTAACGCGCGGGATCGTGATTCCGGTGTACGATGGAAACATCGAGTCGGCTGTGTCTCTTGTCTTGGAGCTGCGTGGCATCGGCCTTATAGACCCAATAGAGATGCCGTATTGTGGCGACTTGAACGCAGATACTCAGCAGCTGTACCTAGCCAAGAATCAGCTAGGCACAGTGTGGTTCTATGATGTATGTAAAAAGGCGGCAGAAACGACGAGCATCGTCGACCCGTCTCGCAGGGTATTTTGCGAAAAGGTCGAAGACTGCTACGCTAAGTTTCGACAGTTGCTTATCAAACCTCTGGCGGTTACGTTCTCAAAGTTTGAAGAAATCATGATGGTGGACGCTGACACGACGTTCTTTGTGAGTCCCGCCAAGCTCTGGGATTCGGACAAGTACAACAAGACGGGCATTTTCCTCATGCACGACAGAATGAGTGACGAAAAGTCGTTTATGGCGGAGCGAGTACCTGGAAAGCCCAATGTCTCAGTAGAGCAAGATTACTTTTCGAGGTTCGACATAAAGCTGTTCGGCTCACTTTCCACGATCGAGCGGCCAAAAGCTACGTCGAAAAACCCGTCTTCACTGGCGCTAAAGTTTGAGCCAAGCGAGTTTCTTCTGAGCAGCCACTCGTTCAATCTCCGCGCAGGTCACCAAGTTGACTCGTCTCTGGTGTTGTGGAACAAGAAGAGACAAGCTCGAGCAACTGCGATTTTGGCATCGTTCATCGCGCTGAACGATATTGCTGCTCCCCCTTCGTCTGGCGACAAGGAGTACTTTTTCTATGCAAGTGAGTTGGCTGAAACGCAGTATGCGTTCTCGGATCATGCCGTCAGTGCGGTTGGCACAGAGCGTACCGACGGTGGTGCAAAGAACTCAACCTTGTGTGGTGACATGGCGCAAGTGTTCCCGATTCACCAAGATGGCGTGCCTGACAAAAAGGTCCCGTTGTTTTATCTTCACAGCGACCACATCTTACTCCATACACCGGAACTGGAGCCTGTTTATTATATCAAGGCGCAGCCGTGGGACTTGTATCCGGGTCCGTTTGGTAAACGCGAACAAGTTTGCTCCTCCGACATTACCATCGGAAAGCTGTCCGGGGAGGAGAAGAGGCAGCTGGCCAAGCGACAGCGTTTCTACGAAGAGGTGGACGCATGGAACCGTGTTGCGCACCAAAAGCCCGACAATCTGGACGAGCCGAATGCTGCTATTGTCAAACTGTTGCGGACGTCGATTGTGGGCGAGGAAAGGCAGGATCCAGTTGACGCCGCACATTCTTCTCCGTACACTGACCAAACCGCGTCCACGACGCAGATGATGGAGAAGCAGCTTGTTTACACCCTGAGTCAGATCACACAGCGTACGACAACGAAGCGTGGCATCGTGATGCCGCTCTATGAGCCCATCTCGCGGATGGGCTTTTCGCTGATCCTGGAGCTGCGAAGTATGGGCATCAGCTTGCCTGTTGAAGTACCGTATTGCAATGATCTGGAGTCTAAGACCGTGGAGCTGATTGGATCAAAAAAGGAATTGGGAGAAATTCGCGCTTACGATGTATGCAGTCTGGCTGCCGAAGCCAAAAGTGTCATGAACGCTACACGCCCAGTTTTTTGCGCGGATATTGACAAGTGCCGCACCAAGTTCCAATCTTTCATGATCAAGCCTCTAGCAGTTATTTACTCACAGTTCGAGCAGATCATGTTGCTCGACGCGGACACAACGTTCTTTATCGATCCTACTTTGTTGTTCGAGTCCGAGAAATTTAAGGCAACAGGCACTTTTTTCATGCACGATCGCATCGGCAGCGATTGGAAACATATGGCCAAACGGGTGGCCGGAAATCGTAATATATCGGTGGAGCAGAAGTACTTTTCGGAGTTTGACGTGACCCCGTTTCAGGCGTTGCCGACAATTCAGCGGCCAAAAGCCACAGTTGAGAACAAGACTCCCGTGAAGCTGAAGTTTGAGCCCAGCGATATTTTACTGAAAAGCCATTCATTCAATCGCCGCGCAGGCCATGAACTGGAGTCATCGATGCTGATTTTGGACAAGAAACGGCAGCCGCGTGCGACTGTAATCTTGGCGTCGTTTGTGGCACAAAACGACATCGCGTCACCTCCATCATACGGTGACAAGGAGCTGTTTTTCTACGCGAGCGAGTTAGCCGAGACGCAGTAC